AAAATTTACAAATAGAGCTTTTTGAATATAGACCATTGCAAAATCTTTTTAAATTTGTTTAACCCTTTATAGTGGCAATGTGCCCTACTTTAGTATATTACTCCGTCTAGTGCCAGACAATTTTACTCAAGGGCAGAATGTAGACTTGCCACATGTCGACCTCGAACGAAACGTTGGCTCACACTCACTGCTTGCGTTTCGTTCGAGGTTGACTTGTGGCAAGTCTAGGCAGAATGCTGCCACTGAATGAATTAATATATTCTCAGAACAGGTACCATCAAATTAAATCTATTTTGCTGGCAAAATGCCTTGGAGGGGGTCCTTGATTTGTTGAGTTTTTTTTTTTGGGGGGGGGGAGTGAGTATTCTAAAAAACAGAATAGCAACTGGTTTCAGAATAGGAATTGTTGTAATAAAGGTAATATAATTCTAAGACAACTCATTCAAAGGAATCAACCATTCTAGCTCTTATAGTGTATGTTGCAACAGGGATGGATTTACTGGGGGGTGCACCCCCTAGCCCTGGCCAGAGGGGGTGCAGGGGGGGGGTGCTATTTTTCATGATAAAGCAAAACATTATTACAGGCAAAATGAGATACAGTAATTTGGGTAATAACATGACGATAAGCGCGCTGTGAACAACAATTCATATAAACAATATTTAATTTTAAAAAAAAGAAATGGCAATTTTTCCAAAAGCCGTAGGCTTATCTAGGGAAAGCTTGCCTGACATTAATAAATACATAGTTTGCATTGAAAATAATAAATATAGAGTGGTAACGAAACGTATGAGAATAAGAATAAAATAAATTTTGACACACACATAGCCATGTACCTGCAGAATTAACAGCGTCTTCAATCTTACAAGGAACATTGCCGCAAGGCATGGCTGAAAAGTGTTCTTGATTTTAACAAAAGCGTTTAGTATTCACAATAAAGTTCTGAACGATTAGGAAAAGATTAGCATTTGTATGTTGCGAAACGTCGGGATGACCGTTCAAAAACCATGATAAACACATTTTGCTTGTTCAACTTAACCATTTGGAACCAAGTAAATGTGCAGCGGAAGCAAAAAGAACAGCGCGATGAGCAGCATATCGGCCACAGTCAAAGAAGAAATGACTGACAGTCTCATTGGTTGAACCACAAGAACATAATGGCGATGGCACGCAATTTATTAAGAACAAATAATGATTTAAGGTACAATGAAATAGGCGAAAACGAGTATGAAGTATGGAGGCGTAGCGATTACCAATATAGAACAATGAATTTGGAATTGGATCATCACGCCAGATTTTGAGATTGGTTTTAAAATGAGGTAAAGATTCAGAAGTTCGAACATTTAATGGCAAGCTATTCCAAAGTTTAATTGAAGAAATGGCAAAAGATTTTTGAAGACGTTCTGTCCTAGCAAATGGAACACAATTCAAATACAGTAGTAAAGCCAGACTTCGCAGTAGTGAAGCAAGTTGATGGGTGGGCGGCACACATGACCGACACAACTCGGCACCAGAGCTGGCAGAGCACCCCCCCCCCCCTACCAGATCATGCTGGATCCATAAAAATGTATTTTCTTCATAGTCAGGCATTCACATAAATGAAGATTAGAATTGCATCATGGTACATAGTCTTAAATATTTAGGAGGGGTCTCCATTATTAAATTAAGAGATTAAAAAGGGGTCCCATGACATTTTGACATAAGAATCTCCCACCCCACCCTAGGGTATAATGAATGTCACTTAAAGTACAAGCCATCTTCTAACTGGTTGGGCACCTTGCCCCTTTTGTTATGGAAAATATATTCCCTACCTTGATCCCCTGGGACAAAAAATTCAAATCAACTCTCCACCCTGATAATGTGCAGATGGTAACAGCAAGAATTGAAACAAGCAAGCTTTACTGGAGTACACACTATTATTAGGAAGCATCAATTCGTACATGCTAATTTGCCAGTCATGATTTTAAACGTAATATTTCTTATCTCATATAGAATTCTTAAGGTCTTGTTTACATTTTGCTGGAAGCAAACTAAGACGCATATCCAATATTTGGGTCATATCACTCATATGTCAGTTTTGCAACTTTCCAGCTTCAACAACATTTGGCTTCAAGGAAAACGTAAACAAGGAAAGAGCATATAACACTTCATTTGTGTTTAAAATATCAATGAATAAATATTCCAACCAGTGGCACTTTATAATATAAGTGACATTCAACAATAGATCAATAACATATACAGTTTATGCAAAAACATTTCTTTGAATCACTGTATACAATATTCTTCATAAACTCGTTCCAAACGTCGCACAGCAGAGTCTTTGGAAGGGTAAAACCAAGTTTAACATCCCCAGTTCAAAACACTTTCCGTGTCCTCTTAGGCAAACCTGTCAAGCTGGAGAACATCTGTCGTAGTACTATATTTTGTCTCAAATGGCTGTTAATTTTGTTTAGCGAACGAACGATATTTACCAATAAACCCCGTTGGAAGAACAGCAACTACATAGTTCCTAGTTAATAAAAGCTGAAGAATTTGATTTCGAGTACGTCGGTAGCAAAAAGAAGGAAAAATTTCAAAGACTAAACGCATTTTTAAGCCGCTCTAAGCACTTAAATTTTGCGGACAGTCTTAGGTTGGCGGCCATCTTGGATTTTATAATTCATTATTATTATAATTTATTACACCCACTATATATCTGGGTGTTGAAAGTCATGTGACCGGCCGGTGCCAGGGCCTTTTCCCGCCTTCCCAATAACAAAAAGGGAAAAGTCCTGGGAACGAGGTTGAGCTTTCAAAACATATTCTTCAGTAATGGCAAATCTTTCATGCTCGGAGATGCTTGACGACATTTAGGAAGGCTCACTTTCAAATTTGATTTTGAAGTCGTTTTGTGCGTTTCACCACGATTTTATATTTAGCGCAAATCGTATATGAACTTTTATCAGTACTGGAAGACGATTTTGAGGTAAATAAACCGACTTTTCTGGCAAAAATTATCATTTTAGAAAGTTATAGGGGCAAATTATAATATAATCTATAGTGTTTGTTTACGCTCGCGTTCCTGAGTCCCAGGCCCACCAGCAATATTTAGTACGACGGATTTTTTTCCAAAAATGTCAAAATTGCCATGTTTGAGGGCCTATATCTCAGAAACTATTGAACTAAATCAAAAAAGGTTGAACAACTTGTTATATAACTTTTTGCGCTCTTTTCAAATCCGTAAAGATCCCACAAGTGATATAGGCACTTTAATTAACCCAGGATTGCTATCCTGCAATCATTTTAATATTATATGGCTTACCGGTTTGTCGCAAGCGCTTAAACTCGCTATGGAATTTAACCGAGAACAATATTTATACCCTCTAATATGTCTGCAGTCTGCACAATGGCACTATAAAATTAGTTCAAATGTCCAGTTAAGAAATGCAAATATATTTAAAAATATATATAAAAATTCTATGATATAATTTTGGCAAATTATAGTCTTTAGTCTTTGTTCATAAGGGCTTGAAGCCGTAAGTCCAAACAGAAACCAGCCTTATCATAGCGCTGAACATAAAATGTTAAAGTCAGCTTTTCTTGCTTCATATTGTAATCAAATATTAGGCCAATGAAAATTGATATCATGTTTCTCGTCCCCACCCGCATGGGATTTATCTGCGGCACGAGAATTTTTCATTATTCATTATAATTGAATAATAGGCTTAACAAAACACCAAATTGATCTCCAGATCAAAGTCTTATTGCTGCATTCCGCAAGCGCAACTCAAATTGTATCTTTCTAAAGACATTACTCGCCCGAATGCCTCTATTTTTCATGTCAGCCCTGGTATGCATAGAAATATACTGTAGTGTAGGTCGTATTAAATTAAAACGAATTATACACCGATTTACTTCAGATTCTTATGGAGTTTTTTACTTGGTCAAGGAAATTATTGACAAGCAATTCAAATAAAAAAAATAATGAAAAATGAAAAATGAAAATATCCCGCTCCAAATTTTTGAACATTGTGGACGAAAAACATGATATCAATTTTCATTGGGCAATACGGGTGTTGATTTCCCAACAACAACAGATGCTCTTCCGGAGTATTGCATTATAGTGCGACTGTTCACTCTCACCTTGTCGATTAGCCTTTTCTTTAAATAATTCTGGCCACCAAATCTCACAGGCGAGAAAATTTTTGAAGCGGCTTCGAAAGACTAATATTTACAGCCAGCATCGTCTTGCTGCTTTTCATTGAGCCGCCATAGCCAACAGCAACATTACACAAGTGTCGAAACATTGCGTAAGGCACAAAGAGCTTAACAGGCGGCATAAGACCAGTATTCCTTGATCTCCCAAGCTTTGCGTACATAGCTTTCCCCAACTCACGAAAATAACTATCGATAAGCGGCCGAGTCAGCTCCAACTTGTTCGAAGCTCGCTCCTCAAGGATGGTATCTAGACCACGCATACCATAATTTGGTTTAGTTTCGCACTTCCAAACTGCATCCATCCAAAGACGCTCCACTGAAAATTTCATAACTACAGATGAACGATTCCAAAACCGATCAGATCTTTCGGTATCATCACCAGATGATCCGAGTTGAAGGCAAGAAAGTGCAGCTAAAAGTTGCTCAGAGACCGCCATATTTTAAATAATTTGCGAGGGAAAATCTAGTCCAATGGGAAATACCGCATGAATACTGAGCCCATGCTTCCGGGAGAAAACTACTTAGCAACCGACCACCGTGCGCGAACTTCGTTGCGAAGTTCAAGCCCAACTTCCGAAGTTGACAACGTAAATGGCAAGTTCGCAACAGACTTGGGAACAGCGTGTTGAAAAGTTACCTGAAATCGACAATAATTATACCACATCAAGTGTTATTTATTGCTACGTTTTACGCTAAAACGTTTTCTTAATTTGCGGATTAGGTTTTTCCCTATAATAAGTAGGTTAACCACTTTGGTTAACTGATTTTTTGTTGCATTTGTTTATCGTATTTTATTTGCTTTACTTTTAAGAATTCTACTTCTTCAAAAATGAATCCGTCCAAGGATCGCAACAACTGGAAAACCGTTGGAGAAGTAATCAATCTAATTAGGAAACCTATTGCTTTGTACACTGGCCAGATCGTTAAAAAATGGCATGCTAAGCTGTGTTGCCGTTTACAGGGGGAATGCGCAAATCCTGTAGTTTGCAAGAAAGAAACAGACTATAAGAAACTTTGCCACTCTTGCAACCAGTGGTACCAGGAACTTGCTAAATGGCATAAAAAAGCAAATAAACGACAGATAAAATGGCGTGAAAACTGCGACACATCAAAGTGGCCTGTTGATCCATGGGAGGTAGCCAAGTTTTTTATGCCTATCCTTGGACACAACAAAGGAACCATCAAAGACGCAGAATCCACTGATTTATCATATCTTCTAAACGTCCTTGAGTGGATGAATGATGTCATTTTTTCTCCAGACAAGCGGGTGGACCTCGATCTTGTTAGAAAGCTCCGTTCAGAAGTTAGAAACCCTTGGGCGCATTCAGCAACTCAAGAGTTAACCGATGCTGATCTCAACAATGCTTTTGACACTGCCAATAAGATTCTTGCCGACCTTGATATTGTTTTCAGCTGTGACGAAGTCAAGAAGTGTATAAAGGATATCAAGTCTGTACAAACTGGTGGAATAACCAATGTCGTAAAAGCCGAGTTAGATACCCAAAATTTACTGCGCTATGACGTAGTTGCAACTAGACTAACTGTCAATCAATTGAGTGAAGAAATAAATCAATTAAAAGAAAATCAAATCTCTGACCGACAGATCTTCGAGAAAAAGTTGGAGAATCTCGATAAATGCATCAGCCAATTACAAATATCATATGTTCAAAAAACTGAACGACGGGCGCAAATAAAAAATTGCATACCTGACAAACCTTGTACGTTCATTGGGCGTGACGCCGAAGTAAAGGAAATTATTTCTTCCTTGATGGAGGACGGCTGTGGAATTGTCTCCATTGTTGGGGGCCCAGGGTTTGGCAAAAGCACCGTTGCAATTGAAGTCTCCCATCGTCTAAGCGATAATCGTGACATCGTCGTCATTTTCTCATACATGTCAAATGTTTCAACTGTGTCTGATGTTTTTCAACGTCTTTGTCAAGACGTTGGCGTTAATCCTGGCGAAGATTGTAAATCATCGTTTACGTTGTGGTTAAGGAATAATGAGAGAGTAATCCTTGTCATGGATAACATCGAGCAACTGCTTGAAGAAGTAAGATCCGAATTTACTGAGTTAGTGCTCACGCTCCGCAAGAATTCGCAGCAACAGTTGCAGATCCTAGCAACGACAAGGACCGCATTCTCAATTCCTAACCAACCCACCAAAAGCATTCAGATAGGAGAGTTGGATGAAAAATCTAGTGTGGAACTTTTGAGAAAGTGCTGCCCTAATACGGATGTAGAAGATATTTACTTATGTGACTTGGCTAAACTGTGTGGTTTTATTCCTCTGGCTTTATGTATCACAGGATCTAGAATTCCACGTCTAGATGATCCAGCTGAGTTGATTCAATGGTTGGAAGAGAAGCCTATGAAAGCTTTACAGTCAACTGACAAAACGCAGTGCGTCCGAAAAGCCATCGAGTTTTCTTTTCAAATGTTGACTAGTGAAGACAAGAAAGCATTCGCTCGACTTTCAGTATTCAATGGAAATTTCCAAAAGAAGTCTGCTCAAGAGGCAATCGAGAGAGATGGGTTCGAAACCCAAGATTTCTTAGAGCAGCTCGTTGATCGCAGTTTAATACAGAGTAGCAGTGACGAGCGCTTCGTGATTCACTCGCTTATTCGACGATTTCTTACCGATCATGATCAACTTCAAGATGAAAAGGCAATAGGAGAAGAATTGATGGTGAGGCATTTTTTAGAGTTGTGCCATTCGTGGACCATGAAATCTTACTCCAAAGACGGATTTACTGATGCCCGAAAACTACTGAAGGAAGACGCCCACAATGTCGAAGAAACGTTAAGAATCTGCTGCCAAAATGAAGCAACGAGTCTGAATATAAACGTCATCGAATCCTTGGCACGTAGTGATATTTATAATTCTTCATCGAGGTTATTTTCCATCTTTGGCCGGGATCTTCTTCCACGGACTGTTTTAAAGAATTTCTATGAATTCTGTATAATGCTAGCGGGAGGTCGAAAGCAACTAGCAATTGAGATCACATTTCAGTGTCTCGTAGCAGATGAAGAAGGTCGTAGAATTGGGTGGAAATCTCCTCAATACATCGTCAGGATGGAGCTTATCAAGGAACTCTTTGACAGAAATGAAACAGTGCTAAAAGAAGTCAGGTCCTTACATCAGTTTTGTTACTATTTTTATGCTCGATATTATTCTAGAATAGCAAGAAATACACCATGTCCTGATCTTCCAGAAGATGATCATGAGTCTTTGTCTGAAGACAAAGATCGAAGTTCTATCGATAACGTTGGCGAGACCCTTATCTTAATCGAGCGAGGACATTTGAGCAAAACACGTGGAATTAAAGTATTCCACTCGGATAAAATTAAGTATCAGAAATACCTGGAATGTGCAAAATCATTTTACAATCAAGCTTTGTCGTCAGCTAAAGAGTTGTTGGGTGATCATGAATTAACGGGTGCTTGTCATAAATATTTAGGAGACGTATACTTTACCATGTGGAAGAACGAAGAGGCGTTGCCGCATTATTCGGATGCCATACAACTGCGCAGAAAACTACAACTTGATTCTAACGAGCCTTTTGTGTACTTGCTCAAGAATTATGGCTTGTGCCTTTCTTTTCTTAGTCGCATTAATGAATCGGTGGATGTGTTAAACGAAGCTCGCGATATAGCTGATAAGCTTGCTGAACGAGGCACCCTTTGCAGAGCCAATGTGTATTTTGCGTTGGCGAGAATGTGTCGTCGCTGGAAACCTGATTGTCAAGAAGCTGCGAAACATGCTTATGCGGCAATGGAGATGAAAGGGTCGTTACATCCAAACAATGTAAAAACATTGGAAAAAATAATTAAAACGGCAGAAGGAAGCATGGCTTGAAAGAACGCTCAAGGGACATTGGACTTTCTTTTTCTTGGAAAAATTACAACTGATTTCTGTAACACTGCTCTAAGAATTATTATCCTTCTTATGGACGATAAACATACGCCGATCTAACTCGGTTGACTTAATTTGTTAAAATATGACTGCAGCTTTAAGGTTCGCATAAGAATTTCCAATGAGGATTTGGTTTAGATTAGTCACCAGAATGTTGATCGGAATATTCTTTCACAAACGAAGAAACACTTCTTGACCAAAATGACTGATTATGAATATTTTTTTTCGAACATTCACTTTTATATCATTGTAATATAAATAAAGTTGTATATGGTACATATCAATTTCGTGTTGTAATTTAAGCATTAACTATGAGATTTCTTGTAGTTTACGAGAAACGAAATACTTATAAATAGACTTTAAGCTAGCAATGAAATTTAAAAACTTTTAACGAATCAGCGTGGATTTTATGAGGATTTCAAGGACTTTTCAGTACTCAATTTTGTGGACTTAGTGAATATATTATATGCACAGCAGACTTTCTAGTTACAAGTACACGTTTAGAGAAATAAAAGAATATAATATTGGCGACGAGACATTGAACCTATGGCAGCTATGCAACATCCGACTCTAGCACCCTTCTCTGTGTTATCTGACAGTGCTACGCTCAGTCAACGTTGGACAATATGGGTTACAAGTTTCGAATATTTTCTGGACGCTTCGAACGTGACGGACAAGAAACGACAACGGGCATTGTTGTTGCATTTAGCTGGACCAGAAGTACAAGAAGTTTTCGAAACACTAAGTGACACGGGAGATGACTACGCTGCTGCTTTCGAAAAGTTGGATGCCTACTTCAAACCGCAAAAGATTATTCCGTTTGAACGCCATATGTTTAGACAAGCCACCCAAGACCCCTCGGAAACGATGGATACGTACGTTACTAGGCTCAAACGATTAGTACAAACCTGTGATTATGGTACATTGTCCAACGAAATGATTCGCGATCAGGTCCTGGAGAAATGTTATTCAACGCGTTTACGGCGTCGGTTACTTCGCGAAGAAATCCTTACCCTCGATGTTATTTTACGCATTGCCAGAGCCCTCGAAGCGTCTGATCGCCAAGCACAACAAATCGAAGGCACCAAGAATTCCGAGAGCGATGCTGAGAAAAGCTCTGCATATTTTATCCAGCCTCGATCGAATACCAATACCAGTCGAGAATTTCGTTCAGAGCGTCCTGCAGCTAGCCCACAGCGTCAAGACTCGCCATCAGACGATCGACTTTCCAAACGAGCTTGTTATTGTTGTGGTCGTGACGGTCATCGAGCAAAAGATGCTTCGTGCCCAGCCAATAACAAAGCATGCAATAAGTGTGGCAAACTTGGACATTTTGATCGTGTTTGTAAGAGCGCGAGGCGTCCAGAACAATCCGAAAGAGTTCGCCACATTGAACAGCGAGAGAACGACAACTTTTCTGACGATGACGAATATGTATTTAAATTGAATGACCCAAAGAACAGCGAGCAACAGCCCAGCGTCACGATTACTGTCCATGGCACGGATATTCCAGTGATTATTGACTCGGGAGCCAGTGTGAATGTTCTGGACAAGAACACTTTCAATCGTCTTTATAATGGACCCCAAAACACTATAAAACTTTCAGATTCGCGTGTAAAGTTGTTTTCCTATGGAGCTGTTACACCACTTCCGGTACTGGGGAAATTCGATGCCATGGTTACGATTCCAGCTGTTTCCGGTGAAACAGCCTCATCTACCAATGCCCAATTTATCGTCGTGAATACAATGGACTCAGGCTGTTTACTTGGAAAGTCTATAACAATTGCTCTTGGTTTATTGAGAGTCGGAACTACTTTCTGGAACTACTCTTAATGCTGTGACAATGCAAAGTGATGTTGAAGTCATACTTTCCTAGTATCCAACAGTGTTCAGTGGTGTAGGTAAGCTAAACAATTACCAATTGAAAGTGCATGTGAACCCGATATCCCTCCAGTTGCCCAGCCACCTAGACGGGTACCTTCCCACATACGTAATTTGTAGACAAGAAGCTTACAGAGCTTGAGGATCTTGATATTATCGAGTCGGTCCAGGACCCAACCCCCCTGGGTTTCACCTTTAGTCGCAGTCCCGAAGGCGAATGGTGAAGTACGCGTCTGTGTTGATATGCGGCGGGCAAACGAAGCCGTCATTCGTGAACGCCACCCCATCCCCACATTGGAAGAGACGGTGCAAGCCCTCAATGGGGCAACAGTTTTCTCCAAGCTAGACCTGCGTTGGGGTTACCACCAAATTGAGCTCCACCTAGATTCTCGTGGGCTGACAACTTTTTCCACTCCCCAAGGCTTGAAGCGGTATAAACGATTAATTTTCGGTTTGTTATCAGCATCTGAAATGTACCAGTTTGTCATCCAGCAAGTGCTATTTGGTATCCCAGGGGTCCGCAACATGTCCGATGACATTATTGTCTTTGGAACAACCCAGGCTGAACATGACCGCAGTTTGGACCAGACCCTGTAACGCCTGCATGCCAACAGCTCACTCTCAACAAAGACAAGTGTCTCTTTAGTGTTCCTGAGCTAGTTTTTTTTGCTTTAAAATCTCCGCTGCCGGCCTGTCTCCAGATGACAAGAAAATAGAGGCCATCCAAGATGCCCCCGCTCCAACCAATGCCGGGGAGGTGTGAAGTTTTCTTGGTTTGGTCAATTATTTTGCTCGCCTCATTCCAAACTTGGCCACCATTTCCGAGCCACTTAGGCAGTTAACTCGAATGGGGGCCAAGTGGGCTTGGGGAAAACCACAGCAGCTTGCATTCAACGAGTTAAAATACAGTTTGACTAGCGACTGCGTAATGGCTCATTATAATCCTGAAGCAGAAACTGAGCTTCGGGTGGATGCCAGTCCAGTTGAGTTAGGCGCAATCCTAATGTAATCCGATGGCCACGAGACACGCCCTGTTGCATATGCATCGAGAACTCTCACCGATGTTGAGAGGCGCTACTCACAGACAGAAAGAGAGGCGCTCGCAATTGTGTGGGGGTGTAAAAAGTTCCACCTGTATCTTTATGGCACTACGTTTAAACTTTTCACTGACCACAAGCCACTAGAGTTTATCTATAGCCCGAAGGGAAAACCACCTCCATGTATAGAGCGGTGTGTCCTTCGTCTTCAGCCATATCGTTTTAAAGTGGTCCACATGCCAGGGAAGACAAACCCTGCATATGTGCTTTCCCGATTGCCAATTAGTGCCCAACCCACCCGTGAACGGAATGTAGCTGAAGAATACATCAATTTTATTACAGAGAAAGCAGTTCCTAAAGCCATGACACTGGAACAAATATCCAAAGCGACTCAAGATGATGTTATCTTGCAACGGGTTCAGCAATGTTTATTGCACAACCATTGGCCAGACACCCTGACCTTCAGCGGTTTGCCAAAGTGCGAGATGAGCTGTCAGTAAGCCAAGGCTTGCTGCTTCGAGGAACTCGTATTGTCATGCCTAAATGCCTGCGCCACCAAAACCTTTCCTTGACTCACGAAGGCCACCACTGTGCGCACTAAACAACTCCTCCATCAGAAGGTGTGGTAGCCAGGAATCGATGCTGAAGCAGAGACCCTCGTCAAGACATGCCTACCCTGTCAGTCCACCATGCCGCCAACTGTACCCGAACCGCTTCGTCCTTCGACCATGCCTTCCAAACCATGGCAGTCCATTCATATTGACCTCTGTGGCCCCTTCCCTTTGGGAGAAAGCCTGCTAGTGTGTGTTGATGCCTGCTCACGGTGGCCAGAAGTGGAGATTGTCCGAGCCACATCATCAGAAGTTATCATTCGCCGTCTACAGAAGATTTTTGCAACACATGGGCTTCCTGAGCAAGTCACCTCTGATAACGGTTCCAATTTAGTCTCTAGAGAGATCGAGGACTTCTTCTCTTCCCATGGTATATACCACCGCAAAGTCACCTCATATTGGCCCCAGGCTAATGCCACCGTTGAAAGATTCAATCGTACAGTGGAGAAGGCCATCCGCACCGCACATGTCGATGGGAGAGATTGGAGAAAGGCGTTGGATACCTTCCTTTTGAACTATAGAGCTACCCCTCATGCAATGACTGGAGTTTCTCCTGCCAAAATCATGTTTGGACGCGAGATTCGGACAAAGGTGCCTGAGATAAGTAAATCAGAGAAATCAGAAACCCTGGGTAGTGCCCTTGCTCGTGACAAGAGAAACAAAGAGAAAATGCAGCAGTGCAGTGATAACAAGAATCGATCCACTCCTTCAACGGTCTCAGAAGGGGATATGGTGCTACTCAAACAGCCTAAGAGCAATAAGTTGTCAACATCCTTTGATCCCAATGGTTATCGCGTGGTTAAACGGCATGGAAGTAGTGTTCTTCTGCAGCGAGTAAACGCGCCAGCTATCATGCGTAATGTCTCATTGACTACGAAAATTGAAAATGCCGGTGTCGAACAGTTTACGGAAAGCTCCGACGAAGAGGACGAGATTGAAGGGCAACCAGTAACAGCCGAGCCTGCAGTCACTGTAAACACACGACCTGCAATGATGCGTAGACCTCCAGTTAGAATGCAGGACTTTATAACATAAACAATTGGACTTCGTGTTATATACAAGCGAACTGGGTTTGACATTAGTTATGACATTTAAAATTGTGTTTTGTTCCTTTAATTAATACAAAGGGAGAGACATAGTGTCCAGCGGTGGACACGTGACTTTGAGATGGCGGGAAAAGCTTGCATGTGGACTTAGTGAATATATTATATGCATGGCAGATTTTGTAGTTACAAGTACACGTTTAGAGAAATAAAAGAATATAATATTCCCTAACTTAAGATGGCAAGTCCATAAAAATTACTGTAGAGCTCCTTTAAGACTAGACTTTTTTCTTTTGAGACCAACTGTGTATTAATGCCAATTGCAGTTTATTTGAACTTGTCAAAGCGAATACATTTTAAATGTTACGACTAAACCCAGTGCACCAGTTGGTATAAGTATGACCACTAATTGTATGATCGAAAATCTTATCCGTACATGCAAACAGGCTGTTAGTCATTGCTTACTTCTCGTCCATGCATGCATATGACTGAAAAAAGTCGTGGTTCACCTTCGCTAAGATTTTCTACGGTTAGTCCACATGTTCTGGCACAATATTGTTCAGTTCCATTAAGCACGATTAAGCACGTCTTAGATCAGAGAACGTTTTTCAAACTTACCATTTTCGACCACTATGATTACTAATCCGAAGAGTTCCCAAGTTGTAGACCCGCAGTTTTCTCACAAATTGCATGCTATTTTATCTCCACTCATTTCACAACAAATTTTGTCATTGTTCAACGATACGGATGGATGACGACACACGATTATGTCATTCAAAAGAACCAATTTCTACAGTATATTGATAATTACGGTTGCCATTGAGTAATTTTAAAAAGAACAAAACAATAGACGCTCCAAATAGTTAACATTTTAGTCAACGTTTCGACAAGGTTTCAGTCATCATCAGGAATTTTAATAACCAGTCTTCCTTTTAACAAAAGACCGTTTTGCTCGAATAATCGTGTGTTATGTAATTTTATACATGTTGAACGAAAACGTCTCTTGTCAACAACTTTGAGAAGGTAAAGATAACGCTTCCTAAAATCCTCAGTTCTTTTGATATCTCTATAAGATCACAAGCACGTGAATGATAAGTCTAATTCTAGGCATGTCACGGGTCTGAAAAGTAACTCTAAACGCGATTAAGGTATTTAAAACAAAAGTAAAACGCGAAGCTGATGTAACAGCAAAGACAACATTAAAATACCCTCCATACATGTCCAATACTCCTCCATACATGTCCAATACTCTCGCAAGCATACCAACGGAAAAGATTATTCACCATCGGTAATATATATTTTCGTTTCGTGAACTCCAGCTGAGCATGGATAACTCTCGCAAACATACCGACGGAAAAGATAATTCACCATCGGTAATATATATTTTCGTTTCGTGAACTCCAGCTGAGCATGGATAGGCACGCTCACCAAATGGCCTTACCATCGGTACCGTCGGTACCGTCAGTACGTCGTCTTTGATGTCCGCGTCCTCGATCTAAATCTGTCTAATGTTTTGGAGGGCTACCTTATGCCATAGCAATAATACTAACTATCTCATTCACCAACGGACTTTTCAAATTTACCGATGGTGAATTCATTTCTCCATCGGTACCGATGGACACACTCTATTTACCGATGGTGAATTGGCTTACCATCGGTACCGCGTCGACGGTACCGACGGACAGTGTTTTGGAGGGCTACCTACATAGCCATAATGCTAACTACCTCATTCACCAACGGACTTTTCAAATTTACCGATGGTGAATTTATTTCTCCATCGCGGTACCGATGGAGAATCTCTATTTACCGATGGTGATTTGGCTTACCATCGGTACCGACGGTAACGACGGACAGTGTTTTGGAGGGCTACCTTAGCCTCTCTCACTAATGCTAACTACTTCATTCACCAACGGATTTTACAAATTTACCGATGTTGAATTCATTTCTCCATCGGTACCGATGGACAATCTCTATTTACCGATGGTGAATTGGCTTACTATCGGTATCGGTGAACATTTATTATTTACCGATGGTATATTCATTTTTCCATCGATACGGATGGACACCGATGGTAGAAATATTTTCACCAAACAAACCATAGGTATGCTTGCTACAGTATTGGACAACCCTCCGATGCGGTTGCTGGTATAGAAGACTTTATAAGACAGGATAAATCTTAAGAGGCCGTCTCTATAAGAACCGGGCACCCAGTTGTCATACTCCCAGTTGTGGAAGGAAATATGAAAGTCTTCAAATTTTTCACAATAATTTTCCTTTCAGGTAATTGTATGAAAAAAGAAATCGGTTTGCGTTAAAAAGCATTTTTTGTAAAATTTGGCCATCGATATTTTACACCTTGACGGGTCCTAAATGGCGGCCCGAAACTGCCGTAAATTGCAGATTTTCGTACGACTCTCGCGAAGCAAGCAGGTATGGCCGACGATCACAGCTTACTGAGCTCACCGAAACATACGAGTTTAAGATTGTTTCATAATGATATGAACTTTATTAAGTTATTAAAGGATGAATCGCATTTGCTTTATGATGGGACTCGTGTTATTTGGACAGGGGAACTACATTTGTTAAAGAATTTCGTCGAAAGTACTGTCGGTTGGGCAGGGAACTGGTTTTCACCTGGCGGCAGAGCTAAACAATTCAAATGTCAAAACCATGATCTTACTATGACTTGGTATCCGGGCAAACTAAACTCCTTATTGTTCCACGGAAAGGATGGAGACATGTTTAAAGAATTTCTGGTGAGTGTTTTGGAACAAACAAAGGTGCAGCATACAGACTGTTTATCCCCTACAGTTGCGGATGCGTTGCTAGAAACCGAGCCTCCCCTAGTCGAATCAATCAAAACTGTTAGTGAAAATAACGTTGATCCTAACCAATCTCCCCCAGAGAATCATACTTGCGCCTGTAGATCTTATACTGCAAATCTAAAAGATGTCAAATTAGACATTTCAGTTATACAAAAACAAATAGAATCTATTAATCGGGTCATAGATTCCACAAACAATATTATAGAATCTATGAGTGTTATCTTGAGCCCCTCAGGCACGGAAAGCCATCAAATATCCTATGACCTTAGAGTTGAAACATTGCTCAGAGAGTTTTCGTCAATTTTAAACGAAAAAAACAGAGAATTGGAGAAACGAGATAATATTATTAATAGTCTTCAAGAAAAATTAATCAAGGTTGAAAGCGAATATCAAAATGTTGAATCCCTAGTTGCAGAACGCCATGAACAAGAACAATGCCAACACAATAGAAATTATAATTGGCTTATTCATAATGAGAGCAGAAGCAATAAATACTCAGGCGGATGATTCCACTATAAATATGCAAAATCAAGAAAATAGTGAAAATTTACATCTGGTCAATAACAAAGAAATTGTCCAAATTAAAACTTTTTCTGATAAGGATCAATCGCCCCCTACACGAAAGGTTAAATCCGGACTTAAAGATTCGGTCGAGCTGAAACTACAACCTGTGCCACACGAACCACCTACCTCTAGATCTAATGAACGCTCTCAACAGGTTTTTCTGCCCTTAATGAGTAGCATACCTACAGGTCTGCTACAGTTGAGTAAACAACAGCCGCAAAGTTCCTATAAGGACATAGCTAACAGCGCACCTGAAGATACTGGTGAAGGGAAAATGCAATCTAAAGCTACTAAGGACGATCGAATGTTATTTCCACCTTTCAAACTCAGCTCACACCAACCGCAACCACGACGTCCACAACCGCATATAAATTATTCTCGGACTCACCCTCGTACTAGACCAGCTCAAACACGAGACCGGCATAATTCCCGGGCTACTACCCCACAATGGCACCTCAGACAAAATACTCCCCTTGTTTCGGTGAATTGGCAGGCAAATTTTCGGAAGAGCCGCTTAAAGCACAGACCCCCTGGCTGGAAAGAATTTCTTGTCTTAGTCAGCCAAATAACCAGGACGCAATAACGAAGTTGAATAAGATCCCTGTGAGAATTACATCTAATCGAACACGTAATTGTATATCAAGGCACAATGTCCCTAATTCACGCACAAATAACTCTAATCTAATTGAAATAATACCTGAAATGAACGCATCTGGTCAAAATAAGCATACAACTACGTCCAAGAACAGTTCTATCGCAGCCAATAAATGTGGTCTTCAAAAATCGAAAATTAATATTGCACATTTAAATATTTGCTCTCTAAAAAAGAGGGAACATTTAATTCAGATAAGACTTTTGATGCAGGAAAATAAGTTTGATGTACTTGCCGTGTCGGAATCTTGGCTTACGTCCAGTGTGAGAAATGAAGAGGTTAAAATTTTCGGATACAGTCTGTCTAGATTAGACCGGCGAGGGAGATCCGGTGGGGGGGTGTGTGCCTATATCAAGAGCTCGTTGAAAAAAAAGGTGCTTAGGGATTTAACAGAAATTTCAGAATCTCGTTTTCATCAGTTATGGTTACAAATTCAGCATAAAAAATTGAAATCTTTTCTATTATGCGTTTGTTACCGACCTCCAGATAGTCCTGTATCTTGTTTTACCAATAATTTTATGGATAATTATATCAAAGCACTCACTTTTGGTAAAGATATCATAATTGCTGGAGACTTAAATTGCGACTTGTTAAAGACAGCTCAAGAGGCAAAGGCTTTGAATGATTTTTGTCACTGTTTAAATTTGACACAGTTAATTGATAAACCGACGAGGGTCACGTCACGTTCGTCAACGCTTATTGATGTCATGATGACTTCAAATAAAGATTTGATTGCAGAAATTGGAGTGCTTGAAACCTATATTAGTGATCATTTTCTGGTTTACTGTTCACTCAAACTAAAGTTGATAAAACCGCATCCAATTTGCATCACTGCAAGGAGTTATAAGCATTACGACCGAAACCAATTCCTCTGTGATTTGGCATGCATTCCGTGGCATGAGAATTTATTTGTTGAAAATGTAAATGATAAACTGTCGCATTTTGATAGTAATTTTCAAAATGCATTGGCTAGGAATGCACCAATTAAGACAATGAAAATAAGACATCGACAAGTACCATTTGTTGACAATGAGATCAAAGAACTGATGAAAAATAGAAAAAGATTACACAAATTTGCTCGTCTAACCCGAATGCCATCTGATTGGGAGAAATATCGTGCGCTTCGAGATAAAGTTAAATGTAAGCTACGCCAAGCAGAAAAAGATTATGTACACAATGAAATATATAATAACCCAAATATAGCATCGATGTGGAAAGTCATCAGGAACTGCGTTCCACGTAAAGAGACCACGAAACCAAGTTATTCCGGAGATGTTAAGAAATTAGCTAATGAATTCAATACCTTTTTTACCTCAGTGGGGATAAATACATCAGCAACTGCATTGGCATTGCTTACTGAACATGGACTACCCATACTGAATCCACCAACATCTACCGAAATACCTGAGATCGATCAGTTTTATTTCCATTCAGTATCGTGTAGTGAAATAAGTAGAGTTGTTATGTCCTTTTCATCAAATAAGGCACCAGGATTTGACAAAGTATCAATGGCTGTGATCAAGGACGCCTTACCGTACATCCTTCCTACACTTACGCAAATTGTTAATTGTTCCCTGGAAACAGGTGTTTTCCCAACAGCCTGGAAGAAAGCAGAGGTTATCCCACTTCTGAAGGAAGGGGATTATGAAATTCCGAATAATAATCGGCCCGTGTCGTTGTTAGTGGCTGCATCTAAGATCTGTGAACGCGTGGTATTGAAACAGCTAACAGAGTATATGACAAAGAAGAAAAAATTTACTAAACATCAAAGTGGAAATAGGAAGTTACATTCAACCGAAACATTAAACATATTCATCTCAGATTTAATTCTCCAGTCCATGGATCGTAGAGAAGTGACTGCTTTACTCTTACTGGACTTGTCTAAAGCTTTTGATAGCTTAGATCATTTCATTCTGCTAAGAAAACTTTCGAATATTGGAATCTCGAAGCCTGCGTTGTTTTGGTTTAAAAGCTATTTGACAGGCAGGTGCCAATCAGTACGTATTGCGTCAGTGTTATCTGATGAATGTGAAATAACTCGCGGTGTTCCGCAGGGATCGATACTAGGTCCGGTGTTATTTAATATATATATATCAACGACTTGCCTGGTGTACCAAAGGAGTCCAATTTGGAGTCGTACGTGGATGACTCAAAAATATATTTAGCATTCTCAATCAGGGATGCCGAGTTGGCAGCTATGAAACTCACAGAAGACATGCGAAGAATTACCGCCTGGTGCTGTCTTAACAGTTTATTGGTGAATCCAGAAAAAACTAAGTTGCTTATATTAGGTACTAGGCAAGTGTTAGAACAGGTACCTGAAAATTTTCAAATAACTATCCTTGGTGAGAATATTACTCCAGTTGCTGTTGCAAAGGATTTAGGGATGATATTGGACTCATGTTTGAGCTACGACGAACATATCGCAAGCGTTGTTTCATCTTGTATCGCTGGATTGGGCCAAATTAGCAGAGTTAAACATATCTTTGACAGAAAAACATTAATTCTTATTATAAATTCCCTGATTTTTAGCAAAATGTATTACTGCTCTACTGTTTGGTCTAATACATCCCAAAGAAATATCGAGAAACTTCAAGCGGTCCAGAACTTTGCTGCACGTATTGTTACAGGAACAAGAAAATACGATCACGTGACTCCTGTTCTGCAACAACTGGGCTGGCTTCCAGTTAAATACATGTTAAAATTAAGAGAAGCCATTTTTGCTTTCAAATGCTTGAAGGGGTTGGCACCATTGTATTTGCGTGAGAAGTTCCATGTCAGGTCAGATGTTCATGGCGTTAACACAAGGCAAAAGAACATTTTGGATATACCAATGTACAGATCAGCTGCGGGTCAACGAACATTTCACTATAGAGTTGTGTCCTTGTGGAATTCTCTGCCTCAGTCTCTTAAAAACATTGATACTTTGACTCATTTTAAAGTAGAATACAAACGTATGTTATTAGAAGAATTTTTAACTGTAAGTGGTGTTTAACAGATTTATAGAATATTTTAGAACTATAGCCTATTTTATACCTTAGGTCAAAACTCAAAATTCATTTTTAGATACTTTTATAGATATAGAATTTTATATTTGTAATTAGATCCTGAAAAGCCCAATTGGGAGTATCTAATATTGTATAATAATAATAATAATGTACTTGGTCTATGTCACGTGACTGTTCCTGTCATAGGAGTTAATTGTCTTGTTGTATAAACTTGTTATTAGTATTTACATAGTAAACTATATTTACATGTATTCTGTTGGAAAGGTGCCTTGCATGGATAGCGCAAATTATTTACGTTCCGTTCGCACCTCTTCCATTTGGGTAATATTCGTTCTTCGCATGTATAGTATTAGTACGTCTTTTGTAAATAATTATTATATTTACCCAATAAAGTATTTAAAAAAACAAAACAAAAAAAACATTACAAGTACCGCGGTCAGTTTTTACACAGACTTTACGGGGACCCAACATTTTGTGAGGACCTGGGTCAAATCCCGCAACGTTTTCGACCATTTCCGTCTTCTAAAAAAGCCACATTCGAAATAAATA